GGAAGGAGAGGAGGGGAGAGAGAGGGAACTGGGATTGACATGTAAAACAAGTTTGTTTCTAATTTAAATTTAAAAACACGAAGAAAAAGAAAAAAATCCTACCTCTCAGACCAGTGAGTTCCACACCCTCCACCCCACCCCACCCCCGACCCCCGCTTTTCTCCACTGCTCACTCTGTAATAGTATTTAACACCTCCTTTTCCCTAAGCTTGAGCTCCATGAAGGCAGGGGCTTTGTCTGCTTTTCACCCCCATATGGGTGACAGTCATACTGTGTGCCACATGCTGTACTGAATGCCTTCTATGTATGGTGTCTGTCAGGGGTTACTTTAGGCTCATTTTACAGATCAGCAGTCTAAAGTCAAATCCAAATCACACAGTAGGGAGTTTAGGAGCCCAGGATTGGAGCTCTGGAACCTCCAGTCTACCATGACCTGCCACCATGAGGCTTAGCAGAGAGCCTGGCAGGCCAGAGGGAGAAAGGAAGGGGTGGGGCATATTCCAGAGGATAATACCCCTCTCTGCCACTCTAATAAACAGAGATAAGATCTGTCTGTGGGCTGAGACATCAAGGAGGCTGGTGAAATGTTTGAGGGGGAACACTCAGGTGTGAGAATGCTCTGAGCACAGTGGCCAGCTGGTCATCTGAGAATTCCAAGGCAGCCCTCTGAGCCACAGGACAGCACAGCCTCAACCTGAACAGGGCACAGCTTCGCAACCTGCACCCCCACCCCCACCACCCCCACCACCTGCTCTCTTTACAGCATCTCTTGAGTAAGAGGACTTGACTTTATGTTTTTCAAATTGATTTTTTTACAAAGATGATCTTTTCTACACCTTTAATCTCTGTGCTTGGGAGATTGAGGCAGTACGATCTCTTTGAGTTGTCTTAGGGTTTCTATTGCTAATGGAGGTAGTAGTTTACATTTAGAGGTTCAATCGGTTATCATCAGGGTTGTGATATGGTGGTGTGCAGACAGACATGGTGCTGGAGAGGCAGCTGAGAGTTCTGCATCTCTCAGGTAGCAAGAAGTGATCTGAGTGCCACCCTGAGCAAAGCTTGAGATCTCAAAGCCCACCCCCACAGTGACACACTTCCTCCAGCAAGGCCATACCTCCTAAGAGTGCCATTCCTTTGGGGGCCATTTTCTTTCAAACCACTACAAAGTTCAAAGCTAGGAGTGAGTTCCAGGCTAGCCTGGACTACAAAGTGAGACCCTCTTTTAAAAACTACATCTTTTTATTCTTCCTATTTTTTCTTTTTTTCATTCATTTATTTAGTTCATGAATAGAGTCATGCACAATTATGATACAGAATACAGTATGTTCACAATGGCATGGCTAAATTAAACCAATTAACATGTTATATCACACATATTCATCATTTTTGTTTTGAGAACACTTAAAGTATACTATCTCACAACTTTTAAAATATATCATATTGTTATCAACCATATTAATCATGCTCTCAGTAGATCTCAAAAAACTACATCTTTTCTAATTAAAAATAATACAAAAAGAAAGAAATTTTAAAAATAAAGGTACATAAAAATGAACATAAGGAAGTCACCCATAATCACACCACTAGGAATATTTCATCTTCCACTACTTTTTTAGTCTGTTTTTTTTAATTTCATATGAACACTTCTTTGCCCTGGGTGATCACATAATAGAGCTTTTTACAAACAATTATGCAAAGTCCAGGGCCTGCAACATGGTTCAGGATGTACAGGCACTTATCACCAAGACTGAAGACCTGAGTTCTAACCCCAGCACCCTCATAGCAGAAGGACAGAGCTAACTACCACAGGTTGTCCCTTGACCTCTACAAGTATATTGTGGTCCATCCTATACACATTCAGAATAAATTAAAAACCTAACATTAAAAAAGCAAAAGCTTAGAGTCATCAGAGAGGAAGGAGTCTCAGCTGAGGAGATGCCTCCATGAGATCCAGCTATGAGACATTTTCTCAATTAGTGATCAATGGGGGAGGACCAAGCCCATGGTGGGTGGTGCTATCCCTGGGCTTGAGGTCCTGGGTTCTATAAGAAAGGAGGCTTAGAAAGCCATGGGGAACAAGCCAATAAGAAGTATCCTTCATGGCCTCTGCATCAGCTCCTGCCTCCAGGTTCCTGTCCTATTGGAGTTTCTGTCCTGACTTTCTTCAGTGATGAACACCAATATGGAAGTGTAAGTGAAATAAACCGTTTCCCACCCTTAAAAAAAAAGAGCAAAAGCTTGAAGGAACAATTACAACTAGAATTTTAAAAATATATAAAATAAAACTTAAACTGGACTCCACTCCTTACTTCCTTCTAGATACTGAGACCGGAGGGCCAGCGTTCCAGGTCACTCCCATGACTGTCAAGTCCACGGCAGAGGGACACTGATAACCACAGACTGAAAACCTCAGCAACTGTGAGCTTGATGGACTTTCCTCTTACACTGATTCTCTCTGGGATTTGTTCACAGCAATGAAAGATCTGACTTGCACAGTATGTGTGTACGTGTGTGTGCGTGTGCGCATGTGCGTGCATGTGTGTTATGCATACATGCATGTGTTTAGACATGCAAAAAATGCAAGTGTCTTAGTTACTTCTTTCATTACCGTAACAAAAATACCTGTCAAAAGTAGCTTGAAGAAGGAAGGATTTATTCTGGTACCCAGTTTGAGGGTGCAGTCCATCGTGATGGGAAAGGCATTTTACAAAATATCTCCCAAACTCAGCCACAGGCCAGTCTGATTCAGGCAATTCTTCTGTTGAGTTTCCCAGGTCTAAGGTTCGTAAACAGTTTTCATACCTATGCAAATCACTTCATAAATCCCAGCCACCATGGAATCTATCAGTCTATGATGGAAACCAATTTCTTTTCACAAGTTCCAGCTTCCTCAGTGTGGAAGCGGTGGGAACAGAGGCCCCACAGGGTCACCTGCTCATTGGTGGAGGAGTCCAGGTAGAAATGGAGTCTGTTGTCATGGCTGCCTACCCTTCCACCTGCCTCATACCAAACAGACCATGGCCCCATGGCCCTTCCCTAAGGACCTGATGGTTATTTATGCTTATTTCCTAGATCCCAGCAACAATGACCTTGGACTTTTCCCTCACCCCAGTTCCCTCTCTTTCTAACAGAGCAGGGATGTCTCTAGACCGGTGGTCCTCAACCTACCTAATGCGGAGACCATTTAATACAGTTCCTCATGTTGTGGCGACCTCTAACCATAAAATTATTTTCATTGCTACTCCGTAACTGTAATTTTGCTAGTTATAAATTGTATTGTAAATACCTGGTACAGGATTCAAATGTGTCACGACTCATAGGTTGAGAACCTCTGCTCTAGAGCCTGGCTAGATGCTGTGGTGGGAATGCCTACGTCTCAGTTCATGGACCTGACCGCATCCAAGAGAAGACTCTGCTGTTCACAGAACCCTGTGGCTCAGTTGAAATGTGCCCGCCTCGTATGCAAGAAAACTCAGGTTCAATCCCTGGCACCTTGCAGTTATCATAGCATTCTGGAGGCCAGCCTGGTGTACAGAAGACCCTGCTCATGCCAACACCACACACACACACACACACACACACACACACACACACACACACACACACACACACACACACAAGTGCTTTTCAGCAACTCTGAATAACATGAAGAAATCAGCCATTCAGGTCCCAGAGCCTGGAGGAGTTGTCTTACTGTCATCGTTATCCAAAGCTGAGTTAATAGAAGGGTGGCCTGAGCCTATATTTCAAGAAGAAAAAAAACAACATAGAATGAGGGCACTCCAACCCTTCCCACTGGAGCTATAAATACTGCAGAAAGCAGGGCTAGAAGGACTCGGGGCCACGGGAAGGTGGATCTGCTGAGGCCGGGGGCCAGCCTTCTCTTTTCTGAAGGGCTGCTGAGCTTCGAGACTGACTGGTGGCACCAAGGGCAAAAGTCTCCCGAGACAGGGACAGCTTCTGGTCACTTAGATGAAGCAGCTCTGGGATATCTGAGGAGCAACACCTGTGCTGTAGAGACCAGGGAGCGGGGCCAGGGCTGCTATGAAAATATTGAAATGTTGGTACACACAAAAACAGCAAAATCCCTAAACTACTGCACATGCTGAATTGAAGGAAGATTTGGCTTTTCATAGGAAAGAATGTGGTTTGTAGTTACCTCAGACCGAAGCCTAATCCTTACCACACAGGCCTGCCCATGGCCCAAGAAATCGTGGTCTCCCTGAAGATGAAGATTTTATTGGTTCTATACTTGCTGTCTAGCCTGGAAGACACTAGTGCTAGCATTTCAGAGCAGAGTAGACCCAAAAGGAGGGTGACCTGTTTTGGAGCACAGTCTCCATTATTTCTAGGCTGCTGTGAGGCAGAGCAACAAGATGAGAAGAGATGTTCTTCCTATGGTGGCTCAGAAGCAGGAGAGACAGAAAGGGCACAGGGACAAAGTTTGTCTTCCAGGGCATGTCCCCACAGACCTACTTCCTCCAACTAAGCCCCACCTCTTTATCTCTACAGCAACCTACAAGAAGATTACTTCACTGATGGTGCTGCCACCCTCATCATCAGACCTTCATGAACCTCTAAACCCCTCTGCTTTGGGAACCCGGCCTTGACGAGGGTATGTGTCACACCTAACGCATAGTAGAGCTCAGCTAACACTGGTTGAACTAAATGGAGCAGTTAGTTGTGTGATGCTGAATGAGTCCCTGAGCCAAGTCTCAGTTTCTTCAGCCATAGGATGAGTCTCAGTAATCCGACCAATCTCAGAAGAACCCAGCAGGTGTTTTAAGTGCTCAGTTGAGGTTTCCATCTTTTGTTCATCCTAGCGCAGCAGGTGGCCTGCTATTGTGTGTGTGTGTGTGTGTGTGTGTGTGTGTGTGTGTGTGTGGTTGTAAATGCTAGGTAAAAGTTCTAACGTTGACTCACATAGTCCTACTGGATATGACGCCCTCTTGTGGCATTTTCAGGCACTGCACATATGTGGTACCCAGACGTACATAAAATAAATACAAAAAAGGGAATTTTTTATTAAGGTATTAACAGAGATAGCAAGGCACAGAAGGTCTGAATCCAGGTCACCATGTGCAGAACTGTTTCTAGGATGGCTGTACCCTTACCTGTTTTGAGATCTGATCCTGGAGAGATGGGGCTAGCTTTGCAGAACAAACAAACAAAAAAATCGTCCGATGGGATCACATCCTCTCATGCCCCAGCATGTATCCTCCCCGGCCTCCAAGCTAGAGGAGGAGGAGGCCATTTCAAGAAACTCTTGTGTTGAGTGGAGTCCATATACCCTGAGTGTTTCTGGGCAAGGGACTACACAGGACTTCCCAGCGCCCAGTGTAGTTTAGTGTGGACTACTATGGGCTCTGTTTAGTGGCGTCATCTAGAGGAGGCCGGATGTGCCATGGCCTCCTTTGGCTCTGCTGTATTTTGAGTTACATAGTGTAAAATGGCAAACAGCAGCTACAACTGCAGTCCAGACCAGTTGCAGAGCCTCATAGTTGGCAGCCTTCCAAGCCACTGCCATGTGGGTTAGTTAGAGCACTATCCCTAACACAGAATGTAGGTTGTCTCCAAATCCACAGGTCTGCGAAGGCCCCATGCCTCTTTCTCTGTGGCAGGTGTAACATGCAATAGCTTGAGCTTCATTTTGAAGGCCACGCTTCAGGACGCTTCAGACCACTAGGAACGCCGTCAACGGGGCAGGCCGACAAGTCCATCTAGGGTTTCTTTCCCACTGTCAACCACCTCTGTGGCTTACTGTGCATCCAGTCATTGCCACTTCTTGCACTGTGGGTCTCATGTGCATAGTGACATTCGTCCAGTGGGAGCTTTGAGACACCGTGGAACATCAAGAGACTCAAATGTCCCACGGATCATACCAGGATGGAGAAGAGAGAGTCAAAGTAATCCTCACGCTAGATAGTAAATGGGCACCACTGCCTTTCCCGTGTGAAAGTGAGCGATTTTTTCTTTTCCCCTATGGGTGAAACTTGAGAAGAAAATATTTACCAATTAGTAGACTTGCAAACAATTGCCATCTGTATTGTTGGCTTCCCATCACTATAACACAATACCTGAGGTAATCATGCAATAAGGGGATTAATCGTAGATCATTATTTCTGAGGCTTCAGTTCCAATCTCTCATCCCTGTTGCTTGGACCTGTGATGAGGTAGAATGCATGGCACCAAATGTATAGTCAAGGAAGCCACTCACCTCCCAGCATCCAGGAAACCCAAAAAGAGAGGGGAAGGACCCGGGGTCCCAATATCCTCTTGAAGGGCACCCCACTAGTGACCTAACTTCCTCCTACATAGCTAAACTTCTTGAAAATCCAACCGCCTTCTAACAGCACCACAGGCTAAGGACCAAGTCACTAATGTCTGGATCTTTGGGGAGGCATTCAACATCCAAGCCATGATACCAACGAAAGTGAGCTCCTTTTCGTCCTACTTGATGGAAATTAAGAAGAACACATTGCCGGAGTGATCGGGTGGTGTTACCTGTTCTGAAGATAACCCATCTAGCACAGTGGCAGCAAGCATCTAGATTTACAGTAGTCTACCACCACCCTCTGTAGCCCACCTTTCACAGGAGTCAAACAAGTGGCTGCAGCAGTGGTCTGGTGGGAACCAAGGCCACCTACATCCCTGAGTGATTGCAGTGGGAGCCTTTCCTCTGCATTGCTCAGAGGGAAGCTATCCTTTCTGACTTCTTGTAGGGGTGGAGCAGTTTCAAATGCATCTATTCAGTTTTTCCCATCAAAAGCTGCTGGATGTAAAGAAGGAGTGTGAGGATTCTGCAGCCCCCAAGGAGCTTCATCCCAAGTGCACACTTTCCGGTTAGGCCAACACCAACAGGAAGGGTGTGACTGTAACTCACCACTGGAGACTCTGTGGGGCAGACTAGGGCCGGTCACCATCCATTTCTGCGACACCATCCACTTCTATCGCCGTGACGAAACACCGTGACCAAAAGCAACTTGAGGAAGAAAGTGTTGATTTCAGAGTATAGTTCCACAGTGCTGTCCATCATGGAGGGAAGTCAGGGCAGGAACTCAAACAGGGCAGGAACCTAGAGACAGTGGCTGATGTAGAGGCCATGGAGGGGAGCTGCTTCCTGGCTTGCTCTCTGTGGCTTGCTCGGCCTGCTTTATTATAGCACCCAGGGCCACCAGCCTGTGGGTGTCACTGCCCATAGTGATCTGGGCCCTCCCACATCAATCACCGATTGAGAAAATGCACCATAGGCTAGCCCACAGGCCATTCTAGTGGAGGCATTTTCTCAGTTGAGGTTCCCTCTTCCAAAATGACTCTAGCTGTGTCAAGCTGACATAAATCTGGCCAGCACGGGTACCCCGGGTTATTGTCATCTCACTTCCTTTATATTAATGGGCACGGGGAGATTCAACAGCCCCCAGAAGAGCTGAGAAATCCATTTCCCTACTGTAGAGTGTTCGGGGATGTAGGGATTCCCTCAGGAGGGTCCCTAGTGCCCTTCCATCACTGCAGTCTGGGTCTCTGAGCTGACTTCCATCCAGATACAGATGAGGACTTTGACACCCACAGTATAACAATGCCCTTCATGTATCTCGCAGGCCTTTCCCATTCTGCAATTCCATAATCACCATTGATGGCAGGCAGCTCCAGTCTTAGGGCAGCTTTCCCCATAGTCAACCCTGGCCGCAGAGTGGCCAATGCCCAGCTTCTCTGAGACACTGACATCCCTCACCAGAATGTGCCTGTCACCTGGGGGGATGCCTCTGGGTATCTAGGGAGCATTGTCAGAAGATGATCTTACCATCTCACACGTCAACTTCTCGATGGACCTGGGCCCTTCCCTAACTCCCTGAGGAGGCGCTGCTAGCATGTCTCCACCCCGCTGACAGCCTAGCTTGTAGGCTTCTCACAGCTACACGGACAGTGGAGCAGGGTACATCCCAGATGCTGATGCTGATGCTTGGGTTACGGGTGAGTGCTCCCACTTTTCCAGATGTAACCATTCCCACATATCTTCTGGATCCAGCAGACACCTGTCAGCCAGGGTCTGGGCTTCCTCCAACAAGTGAGCAATTGCTTTTCAAGCAGGAACTGTATTTCTTAGATCTGTGCTGACACATGGTCTTGCTTGTCTCCCTGGACGTGAGTGTGACAGAGGTGGGCCTGGGGACAAACACCATGTGGCAGTTCCTGCTTCTGCAATCTGTGCAGGGGGCCCGATCAACCCTGCTTCCTCACAACATTCAACAGATTCTGGGGATGCATGATTCTCAATCACCCATTTAGGGTGTAGGGTCTGTTGCCCTAGGGTGTTCTCCTTTAGGGCCCCGAATTTGATGCAAAAAGAAAAAATTCATCAAGGGGGCTGGCAAGATGGCTTGGTAGATGAGGGAGCTTGCTGCCAAAGCTGACCACCTGGATGTGATCCTGGGACCCACACATCTCAATCCCCA